AATTACTCGTATTGTTTATAGTTGTATATGGCGTATACAAATATACACCATTTCTAAATAGACTTTTGTATATGGTGATGGATATATGTTTTTTTTCCTTTAATATTTATTGAAAATGTAACCATGCATGCACGCCACAAGTGCTGCCTATAAATACACACCTCCACAATACAAGCTCTTCAACTCAGTTTTCTTCTACCCAAAGCTTCTTTCTTCTCTACCAGTCTTATAAAACTACCAAAAACAAATTCTGCTTTTTTAGCTTATAACTCTTAAAACTACGGAAACAAGTCTCTTTTCCCCGCATAAAATCGAAACTTTTGCACCTACAAATCCTTTTCAACCTTATTATTTCATCAAATTGGTTATTTGGAAGCTTGAAAATGGAAATGAAGAAGGTCATGATGAGCTCGGAAAGATCAAAGGAGAAGAAGAGATCAATAAGTAGAAGACTGGGAAAGTATATGAAAGAACAAAAGGGAAGGATTTACATCATCAGAAGATGTGTAGTCATGCTCCTTTGTTGGCATGATTGATCCCCCCAAAAAAAAGTTTTAAACAATGTCAAGCTCAAATGTATGTATACACTTGTCAGACGTACGTGTGTTCATGTGTATGTGTGCATGTGGGTAATTTAAGTGAGGGAATAAGTAGTGCTTGGTAGGGTGAAAACCGGTTTGCTTGGTTTAATTTTGTGTTGATCTTCTACGGATCGAAATGTTTATATAGCTCGTGACCTCAACCCATCGTTGGTTTTTTTTTTTTACTTGAATGCATTATATTCACATATTGTTTCATAAAATACGGTATGAGCAGTAATCCTACAATATGACAACACCAAACAAGTACATTATTCACCTTTCCTATGAGATTTCTTATTTTTCATATCTCATTTTTCATATCTTGTGCAGATGTTTTTCATCTTAACTACATGCAATTATTATTTAAACCATGCATGTGTATTTTTTTTTTCTGATCTCGTCTATGTCTTTCTAGTTCTTTTTAGTTATTCCTACCATAATTATTTCCACTTCAAATATAAAAAGAAAATATATCGACTTTTTTAAAGAATTGTGATTCGAATTGGTTGCTTGTTTGCCAAAACGTCAAATTCTCCTAGATATATTTTTAGCCACTTGAATATTTGTTCGGAATTCAATCTTGTTACTTTTCCGTATGCTCAATGAAAATAATTGTCTTCTGCCACAAGTACACTCCAATTTCTAGGTCTTTCTTCCGTCAAATATGTTGGTACTAAACTTGAATCACTTGGTACTAGCTCATCACCCAATTTGATACCATATAGTCACTATGTTAGATTCGACATACCTCATGAATGTTCAGTTAAACTTCAAACTTTTCCCAAGATCTTCAATATATATAACTCACGTTTTACACTTCCAACCAACGCCATGTAGTTTTTCTGATAGCTCAAATCGCATCGTTTCATTCAACGGGTTTTTATTGAAGTGTTAAACATTTCCGTTGACGAACTGAAATGTTTTATTCTTTAACGGATCAAAGTTACAAGTTTTATAGCACAACAAAATTTGAAGGTTTAAATCGGGGTGATAATTGAGAGGGTTTTTGCTAATTACAAATATAAACAACACAAATTTTCAATCCCTCACATTAGTCCCTACAAATAGATTAAGATATACATAAGTAAAGGAAAATATATTTTGTTAAAAGATATAGCTACAAATATACACAATATAGATTTTCAATCTCTACAAATATATTAAGGTAAAACTACAAGTACCTTTTTGTTAAAGATATGACTACATATAAACACAATACAAATTTTCAGTCCCTTAATTAGTCAAAGATAATGACCTCTTCTTCAAATATATGCTTCTTCTACTGCTTGCAATACCGTTAGACTCAACATCATTGGAAGAACCCTCTGAATGAGCAAGAAACTTTCCCTTTTGCTTAAGGTCCAAG